CTATTTTCTTGTGTAAAATGTGGACGCATTAAAGTATTTTGATTAAACCAATTATAATTACTGTATCACCATTTATTTGCCTCTTGGAATGCCCTTCCAGAGTAAATTGATAACACCCTGAAAATATTGTTTCCCTGTTTGTGATAAATAGCACATCGAAGAAGTTCTTGGACGAATTATATAGTCTTCTGTATAATTTTTTGTATATAATTCACACGGGAGGGCCTAGAAAAAATGAGAGGGAAGGGGATGACCACAGGAGGGGGGGTCCTAGGAAATTGTTTGATGGGAGGGTGGGGGTTGGGGCGAGGAATTTTGAATTTTTAAAATCCTAATGTGGAGTGTGCTAACTGTTCAGTGCACAGGAGTTTGTTATGATGTATATCTTACTGTGAACCCATCAAAAAACGAACCTGATTTAGAGTACAAGTACTGTTTTCATTAAAAAAAGTCATCTGAAAACCCAACGGACATTAATTGCTTTCTAGAATTCCATCCAAAAATGATGCTTCCAATTAAGAAGTATTCTGAAAATCACCATAATAGTTTTATTCTGTGGTCATAGCAACTGACAATGCCTTTTCACACCATATGCACCGAGGATCCTTTAAGTATTTAATCATTGTAATATATCGTTTCCAGCATCTTGTCCTGGTTACAGAGAGTTTCGAGGAACCTGCTACAAGGCGTTTGGTATCCGGAAGGATTTCTGGGCCGCAAATAAACATTGCCGCCGCGATGCCAATGGTGGAAGCCTCGCCATGCCTAAAGACGCTGCTACTAACGACTTCCTCTTCTCCCTCATAAGAGGCTTCAACGAATATTTCTACTTTGGACTCCATGATTTAACGGAAGAAGGACGTTTCCAGTGGGTCGATGGTACCAAACTTGGGAGGTTCAAATTTTGGAAGCGGGGCGAACCGAACAATGCACGTAACGGGGAAGACTGTGTTCAATACAACTGGGAAGGCAAGTGGAATGACTACTACTGCAGCAAAGACCGCTACTTCTTATGCCAAGTGGCCCCAGGTACTTCACATGAACATACATTTTTTTACACCCGAGTATCTTGAAATTGACAATCTTTATAAACTCAGCACTTACTGTTCATGTATTCATTATAATAACGTCTGGAATATAATATTCATTTTATTACTGAAACATTTGCTCATTCCTATACAGGCCACACATGAGTGGAAGATGGGCCTCACATCTTTTCTGGTAAACATCACCAAAGTACAGGCAGTTGCAGGTGAAATACGAGAATATCTACATGTTAGTAAATCGTTAGGCCATGTGAGCCAGCTATTTTCCAGATGTTCTTGTGAGTATTATATACTTATCTTATATTTAAAGTGAATAAAAGATATCATCAATGGGATTAATTATAACCCACTGTCATTAGACATTTAATCAGCAGAGGTTCAATTTAAATAAAAATATTCTGCATGTATAGTAATTATATCGATGAAACATAATTAAGTTCTCTGTGTCTGTGAATAGTGTTGATGTTTCATTTGGTGATAATAAAAGACTCAATGATTTTTATATAAATGTATGAAAGAGGAACAAGGTGGTTTACTTGTTTGAAATATTGTGTAATGGACACTTGTAACAATGTAGTAAAATGACTCTAACTGTCAGTGAAATGACTCTAAATGACAACATTACAAGTAAAATGATTATGTATGGCATCATTGCAGGTGAAAAAAGTAAAGAAAGTAACAATGGTGAAGTAGAATTACTACATAGTAACATTACAAGTATAATGACTCAAGAATGATAAAAAATTATTATAATTTCAAAAGGTCACAGGTCAAGTGTAAGATCTAAGTCAACCATTAGGTCGTGTGAGCCAGTTTTTTTCCAGATGTTCTTATTGGTAATTTTATAATCATCGTATATCTAGTAAAAGAAATTATAAATGGGAACAGCCCATTGCCATCAAACATTTACGTAGCAGAGGTTTAACAATATATGTTATTAATGTTATTCAGCATTTATAGAAATCATATGGAGTAAGCTCATTACGATTTCTTTGCCCTACCGTGTACATGTATTTGATTAGTGTAGCATTTTAAATTGGTGAAATGAACATTTTCAGAAGGAAGCAGCTGTTATAACATTATTCATATACAACTTAGTTCCAATGATTCATGATTTATCACTTCTGTTGATTGTATGAAAGATTGTATGGCATTATGAACAATTTATTTGACTTGTTTGAAATATTGTGCAATGTAAAATATAGTTTTGTTTGTAACAATGTAGCAAAATGACTCCTACTATACAGGTGAAATTGCTATGAATTGCAACATTACAAGTAAAATGTTATGTATCACAACATTTAAAGTAAAATGAAAAGTACTTAAAGTAGCAATAAAACTTGGAGAATTAAGAGTAACAATTGGAGCAAATAAATCTGCACAGGAATATTGGTAAAGTAAAATAAGTGATAGAGATGGATGTTATAATCTTACGTCCATATTTTCTAAGGCACAACATGACATTATTTAAGATTTTTTTCGTTTGCCTCTATGTTAAGTGGAACTTTTCAACGTTTACAGAATCACAAAGTTGTAATAGAAAAAGGAAACAGCCGTCTTTGTCATATACTAAAATTAATTTCAAGTCAGTAATCGTAAAAAGATGTTTGTAGCTTCATCGGAATAACAGTCTGTGGCAATAAAAACTAGTCAAAATTTGTGTACCCCGAGGAATTGTTGTAACTATATAGAGACCAATAAAGAAACTGTCGTCTGTAACTTAACCAATTCTCTATTCCTGTCGTGACCATAAGTGTAAGTTGCTTATGATGTTTAAAGTTTTGATTATAAAAATAGGATTGGTTCTTGTTTTTTTTTTCTTTCAAATTCTTAGATTTTAACTAAGGAAATGAGCCTAAAATACAGTTTAACAAGGAAAAACAATGTTGCTTGCTTACAACTTTTAAAATTTTAGTTTAGACAAAGTCGGCAAGAAGGGATTCTCTTTTCTTGTTTCTGGTTAAAGTGATCCCAAAAATACAGTTTAACAATACAAAACTGGAAAACATTAAAACCAGTGCTGTAACAGGACCCGTCCATCCATTGGCTTATTGAAAAACAACAGATCAGTATTACAACCGATTTGCGATAAAAATCTTCTATCAATACGTGAAATGGCGATCTGTAGTGTTTGAATCAGAGCGCCTTTCAAGCGATCGAGAAACAGTTTGGAAAACCATTTTGTTAGTCTGGACTAACTCTCTTGGAATATCGATCATCTGTCTGTTTGGCCAATTTCTACTCTTTCCGGTCGGGAATCTTGGTAGAGGCTATAGCTAACTAGAAAGGACGACATTTGCTTTTAAGCAAATGTAGCGGATGTATATGTATATACAATGCCCTATAAATGTACAAACAACACAAAAGTACAATATTTTCAATACAAAATTATTCACGGTTTTCTACCAACCAACTCCTATTTAAAGAAAATAAATGTCAAAGAGTCTGACCTTTGTCCTTTTTGTTCAGAAAAACAAACAATTCCACATGTATTTGTAACTTGTTTATCTGTTAAACCTTTTTGGAAAGAGTTCATCACCTGGTGGAATGCCAAAACTCAGTCACCAATATCTTTAGAGGAAAAAAAATATCCTTTATGGACACAAGTCAGATATTCTCCGAAACAAAGCCATGTTGTTAAGTAAATATTACATGTATAAATATATTGTTCAAAACGAACCTGTTAGATTTCAAAATGTGCGCCAACACTTAGAATAAGACTAATGTAACGAGGGGTAAGCCATATAACACACCATATGATTGTATGTATATCTGTATGTAAAATTTTGAAATTAACGAAAAAAAAATGTAGCGGATGGCTTCACCACATTTTATGGCATGGAAATGGCATGAAAAGGAGGAGAAACACAAGTGAAAACAATTCTTTACATTGATAAAGCTATATCATGAAGTGACAGCAGTTGGATAGCTATCCCCTACATTATGCAATTGTTAGACAGACAATTAAACATGTATGTACATTTTCGACATATTGTCTGCCTAACTCAGCGGTTGTCAGGCGTAAGGAAAATCCTTAGGAAATTAGGTGCAGCCCAGGTATACCCAGCCTAAGCTAGCGTTCCACGCGACTTACTAGCTAACAGAAGTATGTAGTGCAGCACCTTTAGATAGAGTTTCACGTAAAGAAAGTTGCTCGACTCCGGACACGTTAAGAAAGAACTATCTCTGACATCTATGACCAAGAAAGGGAATTTGAGCTTGAGCTTTGTGTGTTTGAGGGCGGCCTTGGTCAAAGCGATCGTCCAGGTCTATGGGGAAAGTTCCGGGAAGATCATATGTGTCACATGACACTCAGATTGCCATGTGATGTAGCATGCTACATCATATCGCCTTACTCTATGAGCCCACGGCCGTTGGTATGTTACAATCTTATGTTATAAGCTTAATTGTGGTTGGACGTTTATTCCCCGCCCTAACTATAACATGATATGGGCAGCAAGGCGTGGTTACGTTTTCTCTGGAAGACCTTTCGCTGTCCACACCCCCCTCTAACAACAGAAGGATTATCGGACGACTCGGACCATTACAAACTACAAACTCGGCCCAGATCAACTCGGTGCATGTCCCCGTCGGTCAAGTTACTCCACCCAACTCCCCCAACAAAACGTTCTTAATATTAGTTATTATAACCTACTTAACCAGAAAACTCTGAAAAGTAATACAAAACACTATTTGTGTTCGTGGTTTATTAGCAAATCAACAATACAAAGAGCAAACAACAGGTTTAGCAGAAGGCGGTGTAGATATTAAACGTATAACAACAAAGTGAGTCAGTTTAGGTAAGCAAAGTTTTTACTGCACAGTTTTTAAACAGTATCCAACCGTATCACACTGCTAGTAAATTAGTAATTATACAGCTACTAGTTAAATTGAGAAATACAATAGCTTCAAGAACTACTGTGTACGGATTGACTGATACAACCCAACAGAATAAAACTTTAACAGATTTGATACATTAACAACCGAAATATTTCGGCATGCCATCTTGCTATGTTATGTAAACTCAATGCTAAGTACATTGACATGTACATACATATTTCACAGCATATTTCATGTTGCACATGCGTTTGAATTACGTCTTGTACATTGTAGAAAAAGAAAAAGAAAAGTTCCCCACGTGTTCTGTGCTTCTTAAAAAGAGAATGTCATTTCTGATAACTTTCAATGTCACACTTGTAAGAATGGTTGTTGGCTGGTGCAAGTCTTCACACATGCATGTCTCTTTAGACTACTTGGATAAGTGAAGCTTCTATTGCACAGTTCACAGTTGTAGGGTTTCTCACCGGTGTGAGTCCGCACGTGGTTTACCAGATTGCCCAGCTGACTAAACTGTTTGCCGCACTCCTCACATCTGTACGGTTTCTCACCAGTGTGAGTCTTCATGTGTTGTTTCACGCTACGAAGGTGGCTAAAATGTTTTCCACACTCTTCACATGTGAAAGGTTTCTCACCACTGTGCGTCTTCGCGTGTTCTTTCATATTATATGGCCGACTGAACTGTTTGCCACACTCCTTGCACCGGTAGGGTTTCTCGCCGGTGTGAGTCCGCATGTGAGTTTTCAGATGACTCGACTGACTGAACTGTTTACCGCACTCCTCACACCGGTATGGTTTCTCACCAGTGTGAGTCCACATGTGGCTTGTCAGAGAACCCAGATGACTAAAATGATTGCCACATACTTCACATATGTACGGTTTTTCACCAGTGTGGGTCGTCATGTGCACTTTTAGATTACCTAGCCGACTGAACTGTTTACCGCACTCCTCGCACAGGTAGGGCTTCTCACCAGTGTGAGTCCGCATGTGATTCCACAGACTACTCGACTGGCTGAACTGTTTGCCGCATTCCTCGCACCTGTATGGTTTCTCTCCAGTGTGACTCCGCATATGTTCCTTTAGAGTACCTGGATGACCAAATTGTTTGCCGCACTCCTCGCACTTGTAAGACTTCTCCCTTGTGTGTGTTAGCGCGTGTTTCTTCAGATGAGCCAGCCAACTGAACTGCCTGCCACAGTCTTCACAGCGGTACGCGTTTATACCAGTGTGCATCTTCATGTGTAGCCGCAGTCCCTTCAGATGACTGAACCCTTTGCCACACTCCTCACATCTGTACGGTTTCTCACCAGTGTGAGTTCTCCCATGTTCCTTCTGATGACCCAACTCACTAAACTGTTTGCCAGAGTCCTCACATTTCTGTTGTTTCTTGTCCGTGTCATTTCCCGTGTGTGACATGTTGGACTGCATCTGTATCGTCGTGCTGTTGGTCGTCATGGCACAGGTGTGTAGTCTGTGATGATATCGATTATTTGGCTGTGAAAAAAAAATAAGATATTGTAAAAATAAGCTTAAACCGAAAATGAACATCGTTATATTTTACTAAAATAATTAGACACAAAATAAATATGATTTGATTAAGAATAGAATAAATGCTGTCCTTAACAACATGCTTAGTTGATTAAGATTTGTCAATAAATGAGGTATTCAAAAACTTCACGGATGACTTAACTGCCGCGGACTTACAAGAGAAGCGTAAGTGGAGAGACAAAGTGAAAGAAGCATATGAACATGGTAACAAGTATCGTTTCTTCAACGGCCTATGGCGTGATAGCCAAGGAAAACCTGTGAGCTTTGAATAAAAATGTTCACTTTCCGAGTACACGCTGTTTCTGAACTGTTTTTTCAGGGAGAGAATTGAGTGACTGAATGCAACACATCTTGTTTTCTCACCCTCCTAAGTTATTTATCATTTATGTTATTCTTGCGCTCTGATTGATATTTGTTTCCAGGGCTTGCCCTCGAGTCGATTTTGTTTTTGTTATTATGGATTATCTTTATTTTGATTGAGTTACAAGGCGCACCCTGTTGATTATTTCATTGATTCTTCCTATGTTGTATCATTTGCTATTGATTTAATTTGATGATTTATCTGTGAGTGAATGATCAAAGTGCTCATTGGAATATCTGTAAAAAGTAGTCGATAGAATGCAGGAGCCAGTTACTGTGCGATGCAGCCGGATTACGAGATGTTCAGGGTTAGCCAAATCCTGACCTCATTACTTTGTGTTACTTTGTTTTGTTTTGTATACCATCCAGGTTTATTGCATCTCTGTTCTGTTGATTTCTGTTCAGTTTTTGTTTGTTTACATCAGCTCGCCTGTCATTATGATTTCGCTGCGCCCCATTCCCCGGTCCTTCCCAGCATTCCGGACATTCTTCAGATGCCATGACCCAGGTGGAGGTAGGGATATCTAGTTACAATTGTAATGGCCTAGGCAATTCTATCAAACAGAGGGAAGTATTTACTTGGTTGAAGGACAAACAGTTTGATATAATATGTTTGCAGGAAACACACTCAACCTTAGCTGATGAAAAAAGATGGCAGAACGAGTGGGGAGGATCCATGTTGTTTTCACATGGTACCTCCAATCAAAGAGGCACAGCCATTTTGTTTCGTAATAATATTGACCCTTATATTTATCAAACTAAATTTGACAAAGATGGAAGGTGGATCATTGTAGATCTATCTCTTGATGAATATAGATTCTGTATTGTTAATATATATGCACCAAATGTAGATTCTTCTGAGTTTTTCTTTAATATATCTGAAGAATTAGATAATTTCCCTGAGTCAAATGCGAATCTCATTATTACTGGTGATTTTGACCCTGTCTATACGGAACCACCCAAGGCGGTTTACATGTGGTTTACCCCGAAGCCGGTTTCAAGTGGCTCCGTCTGAACGGTCCGAAATCACATTGAAAGCGCCTTCGTCTGGAGCCACTTCTAGAGGTGGTTTCGAATCGGTTTCCCCGCATCGCGATTTGCGTCTGAACGCAATGTGATTTCAATGTGACTTCGCCTGGTCATGGATTACGGAGTGATATTCTTTTTTATATGCAATACCAACTTTTACGTGGCAGCAACTTACAGAGCAGTAATGGTGAAATAATGTGTCCGTTCTAGGGCGAGCTTCACCGCCTCTGGCGGGACCACGTCGGCATTCGGCCGAGATAGGCTGGGAGGGGGGCATCGGCAATCATGTCGTTGACATCTGACATTAATAACACGCCGCCTTGCGTGTTATCATCAAACAGCAATAAATGTAGCGCAAGAGCATTATGTTCGGACACGGTTTCACAGGTGTGTGTGGCACGTGGACCAGATGTGAGGAATGTGAGTTACCCGAATCGCGCCTTGGGTGGTTCCGTATAGACACGGCCTTTAACACGGTTCAAAACCCCTTAATCGATAGATTATCTACAAACTCCACCTACCATCCTAAAGCATATGAAGCTATTTCTGAATTAAAGTGTAAATTTGACCTATATGACATATGGCGGTTTAGAAATCCAGACTTAGTTAGATACACCTGGCGTCGTAGGCGCCAAGCAAGTAGAATAGATTATTTCCTTGTTACATTTTCATTGACAAATAGGGTTAACAAATGCACTATTGCTGACAGTTTTAGATCGGATCATAGATTAATTACTTTATCACTTGTCACTACAGATTTTCCAAGGGGGAAGGGATACTGGAAGTTCAATTCATCTTTATTAGAAGACAAGACATTTCATACCAAAACCATAGAGGCGATGAGAGAATTTTTTCGTATAAACTGTGGTACTGCAAATCCCCATGTAGTGTGGGAAACGGCCAAGTGTTTCTTTCGGGGCCATTGCATTAAATTTTCAAGCTGGAAAAATAAGCAACAT